CTCCGTAGGGTGATTTAGGGCTTAGGGGCGTGTTTGAATTGTGTTTTGGAGGACCGTAACTTATTTAGGCTTGAAATGCCGAAAGTTGAATTTTTTTTGAAGTTTCCGGATCGATAGTGAAATTTTGATATCGGGGTCAGAATCCGATTCCGAAAGTGGGAATAGTTCCATAGTGTTGAATTGTGACTTGTGTGCAAAATTTGGGGTCAATCAGACATGGTTTGTTTGGTTTCGGCATCGGTTGTAGAATTCATGAGATTTCAAGTTCATTAGGCTTGTATTGGAGGGTGGTTCGTGGTTTTAGCGTTGTTTGATGTGATTTGAGGGTTCGGCTAAGTTTGTATAATGTTCTGGGATTGGTTGGCATGATTGGTTCAGATCCCGGAGGTCTCGGGTGAGTTTCGGATGCTTAACGGAATTGAATTTAGACTTAGGCAATTTTCTAATGTGCTGAACCAGTTGGTTTCGCACCTGCGGAGTTTGGACCGCAGGTGCGGCGCCGCAGAAGCGGTTTGGTGATCGCAGATGCGGTCTGAGGCTTGGAGATCAATTGTGGCAGATGCGGCTCAAGGACTGCAGAAGCGGAACCACACCTGCGAGTAAAGGGGCGCAGGTGCGGAATCTGGAGACTTAATGAATTTCCGCAGGTGCGGAGTCTGAGACGCAGAAGCGGGACCCCGGGTGCGATTGTCCACTAGCAGAAGCGAAAATCGCCGGGCAGAAAAGAGTGAAATCGAGGGTTTGAGTTCATAACTTCTAAAATTGTTTTTGAGCTCGGTAGAAGGCGATTTCTTGAGAGATTTTGAAGGAGAACTATTGGGTAACGAATTCTAACTCTAATTTGGTTCTAATACATTAATCTATTATTATTTTTCTCATCTAATTAAGGAATTTGAGGGTAGAAGTTTGGAAATGGGGGGAAAAAGATCCCCAATGAAAAATCTGAGTTTTGAATAAGAATTTGACGTCGGATTGGGATGATTTTTGTACGAGTGAACTCGTGAGTGAATGAGTGTTCATAATCCGTCATTTATACCCGATTCCGAGACGTTGGCCCGGGGAGGATTTTTAGGCGTTTTCTTTTTTCTTGCCTTAGCTTCGATTTCATTATCTAAATTAGTTGTTTGTAGCCATATTTACATTATGAAATTGATTTGATTAGATTTGGTCCATTCGGAGTTGGATACTCGTGGCAAGAGCGTGATTTCGGATTTGATTTGAGCTTGGTTCGAGGTAAGTGGCTTGCCTAACCTTGTGTGGGGGAACTCCCCTTAGGATTTTGGTACTGTTGTTATATGAATGCCTTGTACGTGAGGTGACGTATGCGTATATGTGCTAATTTTTGAAAAACCCCGTTTTCATTAAGTAAATATCTGTGTTATTCCTTTAATTGAGTAATATTAGTATTTGAGGCCTCCTATGTAGTTTAGGAAAGCATGCTTATGTGACTTAACTGTCTTAATTGATTTAACTATTTTACTTGAATTCTGTGTAGCATGTTTAGGGTAGAATTACCTGTTTTCTTGATACGAACTTGTATAGAACTGTAAATTCCTTGTTGAGACTTTGTGTATTTACTTTGGGACTACGAAATGGAATTCCGGAAGATCCCCTTGCATGTTTACTTTAGGACTACGGAACGGTATCCTGGGAGATCCCCCTGTTCTGGGTATTTATTTTGGAACTACGGATCGGTATTCCGGGAGATCCCCCTGCACATTTACCATTTGGACTACAGGACGGTATCCCGGGAGGTCCTCTGTACATTTACGTTTGGGACTACGGGACGTTATCAAGGGAGATCCCCCGTTGCTTTTGTTCTCTGTGTACTGAGTTATTTCTTTCTGTGATTTCATCTTTATGGACTGTTAGTAGTTCAATTATACCGTCATATTTCTTACTGTTTTTACCTTGTTAGATATATATATATATATATATATATATATATATATATATATATTTAACCAGTAGGGTCTGACCTTCCTCGTCACTACTCGACCGAGGTTAGGCTTGGCACTTACTAGGTACCGCTGTGGTGTAATCATGCCCTTTCCTGCACATGTTTTTCGTGTGCAGATCTAGGTTCTTCTGCTCAGCCATACTATCCGTGAGGCGAGGTAATTCAGAGACTTCAAGGTATATCTGCGGGTTCGCAGACCTAGAAGTCCCTCTCTACTCTCCCTTCAGTTATAGGCTTTTTCCCTGTATTTTCCTTGTTATTAGACTTCTGGAGTTAGAAACACCTTATGTATTTTCTTTAGCTTGTGATTCATGAGATTCCGGATTTTGGGAGTGTTTTTGTTCAGTATGAGAGAGTGATATTTTATATGCCGAGCGGCATTATAACCTTCTTTATTATATTACCCGTAATTTGCTAGTTCGTATCTTTTAATCCTTTTTTCGCTAATTGTTAGTCTTACCTAGTCGTAGAGACTAGGTGCCGTCGCGACAGTTCACGGAGGGAGAACATGGGTCGTGACAATATTGTTCAACTTTCATACAATAGGAAAATAATATATATATATATATATATATATATATATATAAACAAAATACAATTTTTCTATAATTTTACTACAACTTCGTAAATATAATGTATATCATGTCTTCTTCTTCGAGTTTCAATCTGAAATTCAGCTAAAAATAACTCTAATCTTCACCAATACACCCTCAAAATTGAGATATAAACTCCAAACCATATTCCCAATTGTTTGCAACATCACCCAATCCAAACAAATAATAGATTTTGAAAACCCAAATTCGAATTCGAAAGCTTAAGCTTTTTAATGGCGGCTGTCAATGGTGGAATTGCTGCTCTCTTTTCTTTTGCTTTACATTACTGAAATTAGGGATTGTGAGATAGAAAGAGACGTAGAGAGATTTTTTAATTCTTTGCAACAACACCCAATTCAAACAAATAATATTTTTTGAAAATCCAAATTCGAATTCAAAGCTTCAATGCTTTTAATGATCGTCAATGGTGGAATTGCTGCTCTCTTTTCCTTTGCTCTACTTTACTGGACGGGATTGAGAGATAGAGAGAGAGTCCGGAACCTAAATGCTGCCTTTTTTGACTCAAAATACATAAATAGGTGGAAAAAAAACTTAGTGACCATAATATATAAAATGCAGTTTTGAACCACGTTTTACCTTAACGTCCGTTTGGCACGTTAAGGTAAAATGCGTTTTAAAACTGCGTTTTATATAAAACGCAGTTTAAAACCACGTTTTATATGAATCTGATAAGACATTTAAGTAAAACGTGGTTTTTTACCACGCTTTATATAAAACATCGTAGTAAACCACGTTTTACAAAGTGAAACAATAATGATTACTAGGAAGTGTACGATAGGTGTGGTTAAAAAGAAACCTTTGTTCTTACATTGCGTATGCATGCAATATGATGTACAATAGGTGTGTTTAGAAAATGTTTGTACGGATATTTGAAGTAAAAAGAAAGTTTACATGTTTTCAAGGATTTACGGATACCTTGCTTTTACATTAAAAATATCACTTTAACTGGTGGAAACGAGATTTTCATTTTCAGAAAACCTTTCTTGTTTTTCCTTTAAACTATAGGGAAATTGCTTAAACTATAAGGTTTACTACCACATTTTATATAAAGCGTGGTAAGAAACCACGTTTTACTTAAATGTCTTATTAAATTCATATAAAACGTGATTTTAAACTGCGTTTTATATAAAATGCAGTTTTGAAACGCATTTTACCTTAACGTGCCAAACGGACGTTAAGATAAAACGTGGTTCAAAACTGCGTTTTATATATTATGATCACTAAGTTTTTACCACCTATTTATGTATTTTGAGTCCGAAAAGGCAACATTTAGGTTCCGGACTCGATAGAGAGACGTAGAGAGAGAAAGAGCACATGAGAGAAAGAGACGGAGAGAGCGGATGAGGGAGAGAATAAGGATGAGAAATAATTGATTCCTAATATAAAGGGATACTCATTTAATTCCTAAAGTGTATATAATTGGTAAATTTGTATATAAGAGATAATTAAATTGAAACTTGAATAGGGAGGATAATAAAGTTTGCAATAATGTATAGGTATGTAAAAATCCCTAAAAGAAACTACAAATTGAAATATGGTCCGTAAAAGCTACTAAACAGATACACACATAAATCTTGGGCTATCTCATGATACTATGTGATAGACGTAACATGTAAGATAAATAATTGTATGGAAATGGAAATTTACTCTGACCTCCTTAACTCTTTCTCTTTTGTACTTTGTGAAGAGTTCTAGAACCTTCATTAATGAATAAGAGAGTGAAAAGAAGAAGAGGAAGAAGGTTAGCTTCTGCAGAGAATCAACTCAATTTTTTATTCATCAGAAGTGATAATCTGTACAGCATTCGTGTGTATATATACATGAACATCTATACCTCACTAATCCTCACTTAACTTAGCTGGTGACAGCTGTCACCTATTAACAGACTTTACCTAACTAACAGCTTCTAACTAGCTGACTCTAACTGTTTCTAACTGTCTTCTATGCTTCAACACCCTCCCTCAAGCTGATGGTTGAAACACATTCTTCAACCCCAGCTTGGACAGTAGATAGTCATGTTGTGGCTTTCCCAGGCTTTTAGTGAGAAGATCAGCCTGCTGTTCTTTTGTGGGGATGTGCTGTATTTTCTCTGCTCCTTGAACAATCTTTTCTCTAATAAAATGACAGACTATATCAATATGTTCTGTGCGTTCATGGAAAATGGGATTGGCTGCAATTTCAATCGCAGCTTTACTATCATAATATAGATCAAATGGTAAATGGACTTCAACACCTAGCTCCTTGTATAGCCCTGTCAGCCATGTTAACTCAGCCACTGCTGAGGCCATGCTTCTAAACTCTGCTTCTGCAGAGCTTCTTGCCACAGTATCCTGCTTTTTTGACTTCCATGAGCTAGAGCACTCCCAAACTTCACTAAGTAACATGTAACAGATTTCCTTAACTGTAAGCAGCCTCCCCAATCTGAGTCACAAAAAGGCTTCAAGCTTCCCAGACCCCTCAGAGGGCATCAGCAGTCTCATGCCAGGTGCATTCTTGATATATCTTACTACTCTTAGTGCAACTTCCCAATTAGATTGCTTGGGTTTATGCATGAACTGACTGAGTACTTGAACAGCAAAAGCAATGTCTATCTTTGTCATGGTTAGATAGAGAAGCCTTCCAATTAACCTTTGATACTGGCTAGTATCAGTTAACAATGTGTCCTTTTCTGTATCTGAGTGTTGAGTATTTGCTGTAGCTTGATTGTTTATGAAGATATCATAATCAGCGGAAGTAAGCTTCTGATTAGGCTCCAAAGGAGAACCACTAGGTTTAGCTCCTCCAAGCCCCATTTCAGCAATCAATTCCAAGGTATACTTCCTTTGATTCATGATAATTCCCTCCCTTGATCTAGCAAACTCAATGCCCAAGAAAAATTTGAGCTCACCAAGACTTTTGATCTTGAATTTGAGTTGTAGATCACATCTAGTTTGCAAGATCAGGTTAGGACAGTTGCCTGAAAATAAGAGGTCATCTATATACACTAGCACAAGAACCATCTTAGTCTCCACCTTCTTAGTGAAGAGAGAGTAATCAAAGTAACTCTGGGTGAAACCAAGCTACAGTAGAGCATCAGTTAGCTTCTTGTTCCAGTGCCTTGGAGCCTGTTTGAGGCCATACAAGGACTTGTGAAGTCGGCAGACTTTGCCAGACCCTCCCTGAGTAGAAAACCCCTGAGGAATTTCCATGTATACTTCTTCAACTAGATCTCCTTGAGGCATTGTGTACATCCATTTGAAAGATTGGCCAATGCTTAGCTGCAGCAACTGCTATTACAGACCTAACTGTGACCATTTTGGCCACAGGAGAGAAAGTCTTTGTGTAGTCCAAGCCTTCTTGTTGACTACAGCCTTTAGCAACTAAGCGAGCTTTGTATCTCTCAATTGCACTTGAAGCTGTGTATTTATCCTTGAATACCCATTTGCACCCAATAGGGACTTTACCTTCTGGAAGATCAACTATACTCCAAGTATCAGTCTCTTCTAGAGCAGTGATTTCAGAACTCATAGCTGCAATCCACTTGGGATTCTAAACAGCTTCTTTGTAAGTTTTTGGCTCAACAATAGCCGAGTATGTAGAGAGAATAGAGCTGTAAGTAGAGGAAATATTAGAGTAGCTGACATAGTTAGAAAGAGGATAGTAGCAATTAGATTTTCCTTGAGACTGAACCACATAGTCCTTCATCCATAATGGTGGATTGGAAACCCTTTGAGATTTTCTGCTAGGCTCATGTGCTTCAGGAGGTAATGCAGAAGGTGAGACATCAACAGCCAGTTTTACAAGTGGAATATTGGGGTGTATATCAGTAGCTACATCTAGAATCTCAGCAAAGATAGAAGCATCAGTAGAGTGCTCAGTATCATTGAGCTCGGGAGAGATAGTAGTAGGAGCAGTAATAGGATCATCTTGAAGGGCCATTGTCACTCTGTTGTTAGAGATATCAGAAGATGAGAATTCTAAGATAGGGAATAGAGAGGATAAGGCAGGTCAGTATGTTTAAAGGGGTAAACATCCTCTTTAAAGACCACATCCCTACTCACAATGAATTTACTTAAAGTCAGTGTATACATTTTGTAGCCCTTTTGAACCACTGAATAACCAAGGAAGACTGCTGGAACAGCTCTAGGAGCAAACTTATCTTTTTTTCTCACCTCTGACACATAACCTAGACACCCAAATACTCTCAAGTGAGCAATAGATGCAGGGGGACCATGCAAAGTTTCATAGGGGGTCTTGCCTTTGAGAGTGGAAGCAGGTGCTTTATTTATGAGATACATTGCTGTAGGGACACACTCTCCTCAAACCTAAGAGCAACTGAGGCCTGAAACCTGAGTGCTCGAGCTACATTGAGTATTTGTCTATGCCTTCTTTCAACTACTCCATTTTGCCGTGGAGTATAGACACATGAGTTTTGATAAATAATGCCAATTGAATGAAGTAGATCTGTCATCTGAGTGTTGCAAAATTCACAGCCATTATCTGTTCTTAGAACCTTAACAGTTGAAGAGTAAACATTTTTTACCATTGGAAAGAAATTTCTGAGAACAACAATTGTCTCAGCCTTTGAAGGTAACAAAAAAATCCAGGTGAATCTGGAATGATCATCTACCAAAGTTAAGAAGTGCCTTTTCCCATCATAGGTAGGGACCCTATAGGGACCCCACACATCACTATGAATTAGATCAAAAACTGAATGAGCAATTGAGGAGCTTACAGGAAATGGTAGCCTTGTTTGCTTAGCCAAAGGGCACGCAGTACAGTGCTTCTCAACATTCTCAAGATGCATAGATTGGAAAACACTTACTTTCTTCATTACAGCTAAAGGTACATGACCTAATATCTTGTGCCACAGGTCTACACTTATTTTGTTATCCTCTATGGTATTTACAGTGAGAGACTTTGGAGGTGAGCTGAACTTCATATAGCAGATGCACCAGCAACTTCCCTTATTACACTTTAGAGGTGAGTACATACAGTCCACTGTCTTCTCTACCAATCCCCTTCACCTGTCCATTGAAGAGATCATAAAAGATGCAAAAATCAGGAAAGAACATAGCTACACACCTTAACTCCTTTGTAATTTTTGAGACAGATAAGAGATTATATCTGAACTCAGGAATGTGCAACACATTAGTTATCCTGTGACCAGGAAATATGTATATGGAGCCTATGTGTTTCACTGTAGCTACATCACCTGTGGGTAGACAGACTTTTCCTTCTTTAGAGTTTCCCAAGGTTTTTAAGTCAAACAACATGTCAAGTCTATGTACCATATGATTGGAAGCTCCAGTGTCAATTATCCACTTAGGTTTATCTGTAGAGACAGTTACACTATGTGCCATACCTGCTGCAACCACTATTTTCATTCCCTTTTCCCAGCATTTGCATGATCTGATTTTATTGCTTCTGTGTAAACTGAGGGATTCCTCCTATAGCAACTTGATTGTTGGAAGGATTGATGACTTGTGAAGAGGCTGATGGATTTCCAGATGAAGTTACAAGGTTGATTGGAGTCCCATATGTTCCTCCAGTAGGGTTGGAAACTGACTTTCTCCAGTGTATGAAATGGAATTTGCTGAGGGAAATTTCTTCTTAGGCTTGAAATCTGAGGGATATCCATGGAGCTTATAGCATGTGTCCCTAGTGTGACCTTTGAAGTTACAGTAGTCACAGTGTAGCTGATTTACTCTCTGCTTGAAGTTGCTATTAGATTGTGAAACTCCTTTGTTGCTGAATAAAGCTGGATTAGAGCTTATAGAGCCAGGAGGATATGAACCAACTTTGTTAGTGAATTGAGCTTGATTAGGATGATTTTTAATAGTGAATAGAGCAGTTCCTTCATGAACTTCAGAGACATTAGTAGTATGATTAGCCAGAGATCTTCTACTTTCTTCTGAGATTATCATAGAGTAGGCTTTGTTTATGGAAGGAATACGAGACATATTCAGAATTTGATTACTAGACTGTGCATATGAATTGTTCAGTCCCATTAAGAACTGTAGCGTTCTCTGATATTCAAAAGGTTCCACATACCTTTTAGATTCTTCACATCCACATCCAGGGCAGGGTATAAGTGCATCAAACTCAGCCCACAGTTCCTTCAGCTTTGCAAAATAAGAGGATACTGACGAAATGCCCTGTGATAAGGTGACAATCTATTTATGCAAATACAAAACTCTAGAGCCATTTACCTTCTCAAAACTTTCTCCGAGAACACTCCATACTTTGTGAGCACTTGTGGCATATACCATTCCACTCAACAATTCTGTGCTCACAGAATTCATTATCCATGAAAGTACTATAGCATTGCACTTCTCCCACAATGCATGAAGAGAAACATCGAATTTATCCTTAGAATAACTTCCATCTACAAAACCTAGTTTACTTTTTCCTAGCAAACTAACACGCATAGAGCTACTCCATAAGGCATAGTTTTCATGTCCAGTTAGCTTAATTGAGATCAAGGAGATACCTGGAGTATCAGAAGGTTGAAGGAACAGCGGATGATGTTGTTCTATGAGTGTAGTACCACCACGAGTTGGATCTGCTACTGGAATTGAAGCATCAGATCGAAATTGACTCGCATTAGCAGAGATATCCTCCAATCATGTGCCTGTACTAGTGCTATCAGCTCCGACCACCATTGATGATCAGAAATCAGACCTTTGACTAGCTAAGCAAAAAATGCCTAATTGCTCAGTGATGATTCACTCACAACTTGAGATGAATCGAAGCCATTGCATGTACAAAACACGAAATGAAGACCTAGAACCAGAAATCACTTAGACTGATCTGCTTGAATTGATCGTTTCCATGTGCTCTGATACCATGAAGAGTACTAGAACCTTCATTAATGAATAAGAGAGTGAAAAGAAGAGGAGGAAGAAGGTTAGCTTCTGCAGAGAATCAACTCAATTTTTTATTCATCAGAAGTGATAATCTGTACAACATTCATGTGTATATATACATGAACATCTACACCTCACTAATCCTCACTTAACTTAGCTGGTGACAGCTGTCACCTATTAACAGACTTTACCTAACTAACACCTTCTAACTAACTCACTCTAACTGCTTCTAACTGTCTTCTATGCTTCAACACTTTGTACTTGACAAGAATGTGAGATTATAGATTGTGGCTAATCTTAACTATTCTTTGACTGTTTGTACCTGTCGTAGTACCAGAAATACTCTTTCTTCACCAATTTATGCGCTAAATAATCATCCGGAGGGTGTGCATAGGTCGGGTTGGTTCGAATTTTTTAATTACTAAACAAACCAATGTTGTTGAGGTGTTAAATCTATAAACCATAAAAGAATGTTAAGTCCAAACTTGAAATAATACGCCAAAAGATAAAACTGTAAAAAAATTCAAAAAATATTTATAAATTACATTACAATAAATATTTATATGTCTAAAATATTTTTGAAAATTGTATAAATGTACTATCGGATTGGTTTGGTTTCGGTTTGACTTTTTTTAATTAAAACCAAACCAAACCAATTATGGTGGGTTTTTTTTCCAATACCAAACCAAATCAAACCAAACCACAGGGTTTTTTTTTTTGACTCGGATTATCGGTTTGGTGTGATTTGTCGATTTTCTTTACACCCCCTGCTCCAGACTGCGTAAAAATATTGCTAGATTCACCAATTTACGCGCTCTTTTCACTACTAGAAATTTGGCCAAAATCGACCGCGACAAACCGACTGACTTTGTTCGGTTAAAAAACCGACCGAAGTCGATAGGTATTTAAAATATTTTATTTTTCAATTTTTTTTTTTACGAAACCGACAAACTTCGGTCGATTTTTTTTTGCGCAAAAATGCGGAAAACTATTTTGGCGTCCCGCAAAATTAATTTTTTAAGAAACCGACCAACTCTTGTCGGTTTTTCATATAAAATAAATTATAATTAATATTCAAAAAATTGAGGGAAATCGGTCGGTTTTTTAGTCGGTCATTTTAAAACCGACCAATTTCGGTCGGATCGGCCGATAATTTTATATTATTTGTAAAACCAACTGAAATCAGTCAGTTATTTTCGCGCGAAACTCCAATGAAAGAGTACAAATAAGATAGCCTTAAACCAACTTGTACCAATGATCTAGTGGAAGAATAGTATCCTGCCACGGTACAGACCCCGGTTCGATTCTCAAATTTTTAATTGCATAATTAAAATACCGTCCGACTTCGGTCTTTTTTTCGGCAGATTTTTTCTTTTTTGGTCGCTTGTGAAATTTTATTGACCAACCGAAATCGGTCGGAAATTGTGACCGACTTCTGTCGCTATCTATTACCGACTAACTTAATTTCGACGAATTAAAGTCGGTTGAAAATCGATCGATTTTTCTAGTTTTTCGATTGATTTCGGTCGAAATTTCTGGACAATTTTAGGCAATTTTCTAGTAACGTTCGCATGTGGTAATTATCTCTCTGTCAAAAAATACGTTCTTTCAAACTCAATTTTCATGTGGAGATCACAAGACCGGTTGTTCATTAGCATTAATACAACTCATCAAAAAGAGATCATGATAAAGAGCTTAATCACTAGGTGGTGTTGAATGCAGAGGACTGGTTACTGCTCCATGCAAAGCCATATAGTATGCTCGTGCATTGGGTTGTAGTGTTTTTGGAAATTCATTATGGTAAATCCCCGACATCAATATGTAGGTCTTGTTTGTTTGGGGTAAATACTCACTCCTATGGTATGTTTACATCAAATCAAGTAAGTTAGTTTTAGAAGTTAAAAATAAAAATAAGAATACACATCATCACTAATCCATGATTAAATAATAAATGTTTAAAAAAAATACATATGTATTGATTTGGTGCAAACACCAAGCAATTTTCTAGCTTTGTCCTGTGCTTAGTTAACCAGGATAATCTTGATCGTTCAACTTCTGATGCACACTCCTAGATGGTTGATACAGATCATTTGACCTTCCAAGCTTCGTCTAGTTTGAGCTTCTGATTGCATGCATATCGAATTTTCCAAGCACATTTCTAACAGTATCAAACACCCAATACAAGCAAAGAGTAAACACTAAAGAAGTAAAAATAAACAAGAAGAAAGTTTTTCTTTACAGTATATGTTGAAGAGTAACTGAGGTACTGGCAAGATCTGGATTGAAGAAGTAAAAAAGGAGGACTGGTCGAAAATTTGATTCATTATTCAAGATAAAATATATGGAAAGTTTATTGTATTTTCTAATAACTTTGTATTTCCATATGAATGATAAATAAAAATGAATTCAAAATATCTTGTTCCTTTACCTTATCTTCTAATCTTTTCAGTCATGGAATTGCACCATCAAACATGAAACAATAAAGATTCTCAAATAATTGCGTACATGTACATTTAATACCAAATAATTATATTTAAATAGTAATGGTTTACTAAAAATTTCAATTATTAATGCCTAAGTGGCAGACAGATTTGAACCTTTCAAATAAGTTTTCCACTATCTTTTTAACCAAACATAAGATGTCATCTCAAAAATACTTAGGTTTTCATGCTTTTTAAGTATGTTGTATTTATTGAATATTTGAAAATTAAGTAAGAAATGCCTAATTAAACCCTGACATTTTTCATTTATTGATGACCAATATAAAACCTTTAAATCAGATTAGATTAATTTTATCTTGTAAAAAATAAAAAATTTAAAGCTACATCATTAATATTATAAAATTCACCTAATTTGAACTTAGAAAAGCAAAAAGTATTAAAAATTTAAGGGGGGAGTGAGAAATTAATATTCTACTCATAATATTAACTTTAGCTTACTTTCTCTCTGAAATCATTCCATTATCTATATTTGTATATTTTTTTCATTTTTAACTACACCATACAGTATCTTTGAAAGTTTAGTAGCAAATAGTAAGTAGCCTTATACTTTTCAGCGTTTTCCGACGGTTCTTCCGCCGTTGCTCCGCCGTCAACCTCCCTCTGAAAAAATCCCAATTATTTAATTTTCAACTTCTTTTTTGCAAAATTTAACCTTTTTATTTATTTATTTTACAGATTTGGCCTAATGGGTCTATAAGACTTTGGTCAAGATTCAAGATCTGGAGCAAATTTAGGGATCAAGAACTGATTTTTCTGATTTGGGTCTGCTTTGTTTCTAGTCTTTGTGAGTAAAGTTTGAATCTTGACTTTTTTGCCCTTGACTTTTTTAGATCTTATGTACAACATTTCAGCTAAAAGTACGATTCTTTCTGATCTTTTGATTTGTCTTTAGCTTAGATCTTATTGCTATATGGATAATTATGCTGGATATCTTAGTGATTTGGGTTTTAATGATTAATAAAGATTGATTTTTTAGTTAGATTTGAATAACAGCTGAAAGTTGTTGACTTGGATTTGAGCATATTCCAGGATTTAGTGTCCTTGATTTTGCTAAGTTAATTAATTACTTTAGCTCTCTTTCATTTTTTTTGTTGTTTAGAGATTTTTGTGTATGTTGAAAATGTAGAAAAGATATAGTAGAGAATAGTTAATTTGAGTATTGGAATGAAACTTGTTCAAATGGAGGGAAAATGATAATGAGGTCTTATGCGGGGACTCGATTATAATTTGGATTGAGTTGTTGTTGTTGTTGTTGTTGTTGCTACTGTTATTGTATTTTCCCTTAGATACATCCGATAAAATTGTGACGACAGATATTTTGTTGTATTGAGTAAGTATGTTGGTAAGGTAGCTTTAAATCTGAGTTGATAGTCTATTTGAATGTTCATAAGCTGTAATCTCTTGATTTTGTGAAGTCTATTTATAGTTGATTTTTAAGGTCGTCTAATTTGAATTACTTCGTCATGGACCATTAATGATTTGAAGTAGAATTTGCTTAGATTTGGAGACTGTTGACAGGTCAGTAGAGCACATAAAGCTAGAAATGCTAATTTGTTAATTATGGCAATTCTTGTTTGATTGCAGGCACATAAGAATGTTTCAACTGTAACTATCTGTGAGATTCCTATAACTATCTTGGTGGAAATTGGGTTAAAATTCAGGATTTTGAGATGGAGCCAAATATAGAGGAAGCACTACAAGCTAAAGCGAATGCTGAAAGGAAATTTGCAGAGAGAGACTTTGTGGGTGCAAAGAATTATGCTTTAAAAGCTCAGATGTTGTGTCCTCAGTTAGAAGGCATATCACAAATGGTAGCAACATTTGGTGTTCACAGTGCGGCAGAGATGAAGGTTAATGGAGAATTTGATTTCTACACAATATTGGGTATGGATCCATCTGCAAACAGGGCTAAGCTGAAGAAACAATATAAAAGGATGGCTGTGTTACTCCATCCTGATAAGAACAAAAGTATAGGAGCTGATGGTGCATTTAGGCTTGTCTCTGAAGCATGGACTGTATTGTCTGATCGTGCTAAAAGAAGTTCTTATGATCAGAGGAGAAGTTTATTTACTCTGCATACTTCTGGTGTTGGCAACTATGGTAATTACTCCAACTCTTCAGCTTCTCAAAGCAGGCACGATACATTTTGGACTGTTTGTACCTCTTGTCAGGTTCAGTATGAATATCTTAGGAAATATGTGAACAAAAGACTGTCTTGTAAGAACTGTCGTGGGGTTTTCATAGCTGTTGAAACTGGATTGGCCCCAGTAAACGGTTCCTATGCTTTTAGCCCTTGGCCTTATGCGTCTGAGAACGGATACAAAAGCCATGGTTGTGGGGTTACGTATGTCCCAACATCGCCTCCTTATTCTGCAAATAATGGGGTACCAGCACATCATTCTAAGCGCAGTTCGGAGCATGTTTCTAATTTATCCTTTCAGTGGAGCTCCTTCCCTGGAACTTCTGCTGGAGTTCTGGATCCGAATGGGTCAGCCACCGGCTTCAGTTTTACCCAACAGGCAAATACGATAGCCTCTGGAAGAAAAGCCAATGGGAAGCAAGAACTTATAAAGATGGCTGGTGTGGTTGCCAGTGGGTCGGTGAGTAGTGATCAACTGCCCCGCAGACCTGGTAGGCCTCCTAAGAAGAGGAAAATTGATGTGGACAGTACAAGTAGTTATGTGAATGGCGAAGTGGCTCCAAGAGCTTCTGCAGAAGTCATAATGGCTGATGGAAACGGGAATGAGAATTTGAAAAGAAATCTTAAGCTTCCTGTGCCTGACGTTTCAATCAGAAGATGGTCCGCAGCTCCTGCATTTGATGCAAGACAGTTATTAATCGACAAGGCAAGAACAGATATCCGCAAGAAACTGGAAGAGATCAGGTTGACTTCCGAAGCTGCTGCTGCAGAGGCCGAGAAAGAGAGAAAGGTGCATGCACAATTTGGTGAATCCAGTGAAAGATCTAAAAGAGCAGGTTTGGGTGTTGCTGCTCATGAATCAGATATGAGGAAAAGTGGGTCCATGATTATGACAGTCCCAGACTCTGACTTCCATGATTTTGACCAGGATAGATCAGAGGATTGCTTCAAGCCGAAGCAGATATGGGCTTTATATGACGAGGAAGATGGTATGCCTCGCTTGTATTGTCTGATCCGCCAAGTTATCTCAGTGCAGCCATTCAAGATTCATATCAGCTACTTAAGTTCAAAAACAGATACTGAATTTGGGCTTGTCAATTGGTTGGATTCTGGTTTTACCAAGTCATGTGGAAAGTTTAGGGCATTTAACTCTGATATTGTTGAGCAAGTCAACATATTTTCTCATCTTCTAAGTAGGGAGAAGGCTGGAAGAGGAGGGTGTGTCCAAATCTATCCAAAAAATGGAGACATTTGGGCCATATATCGAAATTGGTCGACCAATTGGAACAGGAAAACCCCAGATGAAGTGAGGCACCAGTATGAAATGGTGGAGGTCCTTGGTGATTATTCTGAAGACTTTGGTGTTTGTGTTGCTCCTTTGGTTAAGTTAGATGGATTCAAGACAGTATACCAAAGAAACACGAACAAGGATGCCATCCGAAAGATTCCAAGAAGAGAGATGTTGCGGTTTTCACATCAGGTGCCATCTCGTTTACTGAAAGGAGAAACAATGAACTTGCCGGAGGGATGCTGGGAGCTTGACCCTGCTGCAACTCCAGATGATTTGCTTCAAGGAGTTAGTGATGTACAGGAGGAAAGACCTATTCAGGTAGAACACTCTGCTGTTTCCGACATGTTCGATGGGGCCATCATACCTGGCTCGCAGATTCAAGAAAACTTAAATGAACAGAAAACCCTGTTTAGACCTTCCACCGAGCTTCCTCAATCCGTAAGGCAAATTCATACCTATAAGGAACCGAGTAAAGTGGACAATCTCAACGCTACACCAGGTGAGCATCTTCGGGCTGTGATGAATGAATAAGTTAAGGTAAAGGCCAAGCAAAATAGTAGGAAATTTGATTCAGAGGTCCTTTTTTTCATAATCACTCTAACAGTGTAATGAGGATTCAGATTGTATAGATTTATTTATACACACAGCGAAGGATGATTCTCAAAACATTAGATAGGTGGCAGGATCCAAAGTGATCTGTAACACTTGTACTCATTGTTTTAGGTTGCTATAGGTTTAAGAGCGGCTTTGTACTGATAACTCTGATTCGTATCCTTTACAGAAGTTTTCTGATTCATATCCTTAACAGAATTTCTTTTTGTTTGTCAAGAACTATAGTGGACATTTCTTCATGCATTTGCTTTATGTGCAATCTTCATAACTGCAGTACCTGTAATTTTCTTGAATATCTGGTACTTGTATTGGCGGGAGATAGCTGGTGCTCGCTTAGAGAAGGTCTGCTTGCGTGTGCCCACTCTGGGATTCCCTAAGGGGAACTTATAGAATCTGAACACCTAAGTTAGGAGAAAGCCATAAGGTAACCCAAGATTTCCACCCTTAAAATTTGCCACCTTCTACATATGATCAATCATGATTGCTGGCAAATTGATTGGGACAAACTCATCAAGAGCTTCCATTAGGACCATGTAAGATCTTGTAGAAATAGAGCGCCTCTCAGAGCGGGGTAATAGCACTTTATTGACCAGTTCAAAGTGAAGCCGCTCCTCAGGAAGCAATACTTCTATGCACTGTCCCTGTGANTTCTTTTTGTTTGTCAAGAACTATAGTGGACATTTCTTCATGCATTTGCTTTATGTGCAATCTTCATAACTGCAGTACCTGTAATTTTCTTGAATATCTGGTACTTGTATTGGCGGGAGATAGCTGGTGCTCGGTGAATAATTGAGGAGTGTGCAAGCCGGTATGGACGCCACGTCATCAATATGTGTGTGTGTGTATATATATATATATATATATATATATATATATATATATATATATATATATATATATTGTGTTGTAGAACCATATATTAGGTGGTTTAACATATATGTAGACATGGTTCTAGCTTTCTAACTAGCTCTTTCTATTAAACGCCTGGAGTTTTTTTTTCGGGGCACAACTTATTATATTTTGGAAACAAAAGTCTTGCCATAGGAATTGTCGAAAATGGAAAACTTGTTGGACAAATACTCGACCTTAACCTCATTCAGTGAGTGTAGCAATAGTTTAATTATATAATCAATAATCGTTTAAGTTTTGCCTCTGATAAGGCTCAATAGCTACAAATTGCCCATTGATTATAATGTTATTAAGATCAATCTTGATTATACAACAACAACAACCCACTAAAATTTCACTAATAGAGTATGGGGAGGGTAGTGTGTACAGAGACCTTTCCCCTACCCCGAAGAAGTAGAGAGGTTGTTTCCGAAAGACCCTCGGCTAAAAAAAACAAAAAGGAGACAATATCAGTATCAACATAGAAATCATAGGAAAAATAGGAACATGAAATCCAGAAGAAAGATGCAAAGCAAAAGCGATAGCTAGTAAATAGATCCTGCACCGAAAAGCGAAATAGTAAGACACAACATTGCCACTAGCTATCTTAGACAAAAACCCTACCAGACTAGTCTCACAATGGTACGAAGTAAGGCAAGACTCAACTACCTCCTAACCGATAACCCTGATACTCGATCTCCACATCTTCCTATCAAGTGTCATGTCCTCGAAAATCTGAAGCCTCGCCATATCCTGCCTGATCACCTCTTCCTAATATTCTTAGGCCGCTCTCTACCTCTTCTCGTGCCCTCCACAACCAGCCGCTCACACCTCCTTACCCGAGCATCTGAGCTTCTCCTCTGAACATGCCTGAACCATCTGACCCTTGCTTCCCGCATCATGTCATCAATGGGAGCCACGTGCACCTTCTCTCCTGATCTTATCTATCCTAATGTGCTTGTACATCCATCTCAACATCCTTATTTCTGCTACTTTCATCTTCTGGATATGTAAGTTCTTAATAGGCCAACACTCGCCCCATGCATCATGGTTATGTGAAATCATTTTGGCTAATCCAGTGTGGGGATTGAGTCCATGTAAAACTGCATTGTTCATTTTCGTCTATCTAATAACTATCTGAAACTGTATAATAGAGCGATAAGCAGATAGAAAAATCATGAATGCTCCAATTGTAGGGCTAACATCTTATAGCCTGTTTGGCCAAGCTTCTTTTTGGCCATGTTTTTTTTTTTTTTTTTTTTTTTTTTTTTTTTTTTTTTTTTTTTTTTTTTTTTTTTTTTGCCAAAAGCACTTTTGACGAAAAATTGAGGTGTTTGACCAAACTTTTGGAAGGAAATAAAGTGCTTTTGAGGAGAAGCAGAAGCAGTTTTGGAGAAGCAGAAAAAAGTAGCTTCTCTCCAACAACACTTTTTTGAGAAGCACTTTTGAGAAAAATACACTTAGAAGCAGTTTTTTAAAGTTTGGCCAAACACTAATTACTGCTCAGAAGTGCTTTTCAAACTAATTAGCCAAACACAAACTGCTTCTCACCAAAAGTACTTTTGAGAAAAGCACTTTTGAAAAAAAACACTTCTCAAAATAAGCTAATTTTTGCAGCTTAGCCAAACGGACTATTAATTTCCTCAATTTCATAGAAGCAAAAATGGCTAATAAAAAGAAGGCTAATAAAAGCTGAGCTCAACTTTCAAATGAAGAAAACGCTAGTAATTTTGCTTTTCCACCGGAAACAAAAATTCATTGCATTTGCATTACGGCATATGCTCTTAATGGCAAGTGTTATATCCTGTAAGGAACAAGACAAAACGTGAAGGAAAAGTTAAACTAATATTCTTTTATTTGGATACAATGTATAGAACCGTGAAGAAATGTAAAATCAATAAAACAGCTTAAGGATAAAAAGTAAAACAGTGTGCATAGGATACAATGTATAAAACCGCAAGTTCGAACTTCTCGGGGCTTTTGCATCTATATTCGATTTTGAGGCTACAATTGAATCTATACTTACTTTACAAGCGTACCCACTTGACGATCAATTTTAAATTTATCGGGTCGTAAGTTAAAGAAAATTAGTCTAAAGTGAAAAAATTGCACCTCAAATACACTTAAGGCCAAATAGGTCTGAAGTGCAACCAATGGTTTCATGCACTTAAGGCTAATAAGTCTGAAGTGAAAAATTGCACTTCATATGCACTTAAGGCCAATAAGTGTTAAGTGAAAAATTGCACTTCAATGCACTTAAGGCCAATAAGTCTGAAGTGAAAAATTGCACTTCAGATGCACTTAAGGCCAAAAAAATCTGAAATGCAACAAACATTTTCATTCACTTAAGGTCAATAAGACTGAAGTGAAAATTTGCACTTCATATGCACTTAAGGCCAAAAGGTCTGAAGTACAACAAACATTTTGCTACACTTGAGGCCAATAAATTTGAAGTGAAAAATTGCACTTCAGATGCACTTAAGGCCAATGGTTTGAAGTGCAACCAACGTTTTTATGCACTTAAGGCCAAAGGTTTGAAGTGCAACCAACATTTTTATGCACTTAAGGCCAAATAGGCGTGAAGTGCAAATTGTCCAGAAACAGAAATTTGTTCTTCGAATTATAACAATCTATTATATGATTTAATACCTAAATCTACTCCAAATGAGCTCAATTTTGAAACATAACCTCCAAATATCAATAGAAACAAACCAATCATCAATTTGTCAAAACAACAATAAATCTAATGAATCCATTTTGCAATTATGAAAAAGAAGAAGAAACCTTAAGCAATAGAAAAAAAAAGCGTCATAGTAGCTCACCATTGTAAAACATCATAAACTACATTAAAATATGTTCACAACAACCATATAAAATCATTGTCACACGACGACGACGACGACGAAGAAGAAGAAGAAGAAGAAGAAGAAGAAGAAGAAGAAGAAGAAGAAGAAGGAGGAGGAGGAGGAGGAGAAGAAAAAGAAAACGAAGGAGGAGAAAGAGACTTGAAGTTGTTTAAAAAGTGGGTACATGTTAACATTTTTTAAAAAGTGGGTATAGGTTAAATGGGGGCGACCAAATAGGACACCCCGTATAATTTTTACGAATTTCTTTCGCCGAAAAGTTTCATCATATATATAAAGTTAAAACAATTTTTTAAGTATATATACTAGGATTCAGTCAAACTTCTTGATAATAGCCTCGTTTGTTTCGGTATTTTTTGACTGTTATAATGAAATGCTAATATAGAGGACATATATAATAACATAATATAAAAATAATTTCAGAAAGAAATTTGATTTTATTGTAAATTATTGTTATAAAGGATTGTATATTGAATTTCTTTTGACTTCATCCGATATTTATTTCTTTATATTTATCATTTTTTAGTGAAATTTTAATTACGCCACAATTGACAACAATAATAAACACACATGTTCGCTGATCGCCTATCATTTAAGTAGCACCAATGAAAATATGAAATCCAGAAGAACCTCACGTGGCAGCTGCTTGGTGAAGACTGAAGAGTGAAGACATTTCTTTAGACATATTTAACCCGGGAAAAAATAGTTTTTGTAGTAAACAAATAAATAGAATAATTCAGGTTTCTAACGACTAATTTACTTTATTTTTCCAAATATAGTTGATATGAAGAAGTAATAATAATAATAATAGATTATAAAACTGAGAGAATAAAGAAATGGAAATCTTATGGATGGTTATCGCTTTCTTCCGGTAGGAAAGAATAAAATCTTCCAATAATAAAGAATAGCAAGAGATATTGATACTTGATAGTATAACTTTGTAATTTTCTCGATGGGGAGACAAGTTACGGAAAGGGGATTTATATAGTACAATTTGTAACTGCCTACTGTATTTAGTTTTTGCGCGAGTTATTAATATTTTATTATATTAACTATCCATTACGTAGGTGATTTATAACGGTTGAGGCAATAACAGCAAATCGTGCACAATCAGTGATTCAACTGATTTCTTTCCATAGTTGTAACTATTAATGACCTTTCCATTTTTATGTCTTCCAATGATCTTAATTACTAGCCCCGTACCTGTTTTCTCTTATTCAACTAACATTCACGATATCTTCATAGTCAATTCAGTGGGTGTTGTTCATATCTTCTTTGCACATCATTCTTCTTTATCGCTTCAATTTCCATGATATCTGTGTAACTACCCGACTGGTCATTTTGAACCTTGCATTCAATTCGACACTTTAAGGTCTTGGGTAGCTTCACATTACGTATTATTGCGTGTATGGTTAGTTTTGGTTTTTGAGTGATTCGAGATTGATTTGGATGAATGATCCTCATTTTAGAAGCTTCAAATTGGAAGA